ATTTTGTGTGGACTGAGAGGTCTCTCTTCCTTGTCTACTTCTACTTCAGCCAGGCGCAACATGTTATATATTGTATCCCCTGTAACCTGTCAAATTTATAAAAAAGGTTTGAAAGTCCTTGCCTATAATTTAATTATTCCGCAAAATGTAAGGCAATTATCATGTAAAGAATTTTGAAAATACAAATGATACAGGAAACAGTGTAAGCCTGTAAGACTTCTAAAAGACAGCAAGTACAATGCACAAAGGTTTGTTTTTTTTAAATTTAACAGCAAAAGTTGGAAGAATACATATAGCTAAACCTGCATTTTTGAGAGTGTATGCAGGGAAAGATGTCAAATTCTTACTGTGAGCTGTGAAACAGGAAAATAAAAGACACTGTGAAATAAAAAACATAGTTGGTTTTTCTTTCAAGTAAATCATGAGAGTGGTAAATTCATCTAACTTTTTTCATTTTCCTGACGCTTCTTGGGTATTAAGAATTTACAAACAGTATTTTCTAAAATGTCACTAGTATTACATGAACTGATTAATAAGAGCCATAATAACATTAGTAAGGTTATTCAAAGGAAGCGTGACATGAAAATATAATTTAGAATAATAACAACAACAAAGTATATAATTATGGGAACAACCCATGGAAACATTTTTACCGGACATGGGAAACAAAGATAATGGAGACAGCTTAGAAAGCACTGAAATATATTTTAAATGTACATAGTAGCGAACAACACTAAAGCAGCCTTGGAAGACAAAGAAACTTATAGTAGCTTCTGTCAAACGCAAACTGGGACCCTAATCCATGTAGCTGACCTTTCCAAAGATTGTGTGCTTGTTATTAAGTTCATCTGCACGACCCAACGTAAAGAAAAATTGACTTCCGTTATCATGGGGCCCAGCATTTGCCATAGCAACAAGTCCTCTTCGATTAAATCGCAATCGTGAGTGGAACTCATCCTGGCAAGACAGAAGAGAAAAGAACACGATTTAAGTATACAACTATTTTTTCCACTTCTTTAGCTATGGCTTATTTATATCAATATGCACCCACAGAAAATACGCTGTTAATTTCAGACAGTAATAAAACCAAAGCCTTTTGAAACTTAATGCCACAATTGTATTTAAAACCTTATGTTTTCAGCAGAAAAGATTATTTTTAGTCAATGTTTTTTCTTCTTAGTGCCTATAATAATGAAAACAAGTGAACAATCTTCTTTCAAAAGAAACCATAAACACATAAAAACCAACCATAGAAAGACACATGATTTAATAACTCTAAGTTCTGTCTTATTAACGTTCTCTTTTTCCAATCGTTGCCTAATAATCAATTGCTATTCACTATTTTTGTTGGAATTTATTATCCCCTCAATATTAACAAAATCCAAGGCATTTCTGAAAGTAACTGCGTTTCATATATTTCTTGTAAAACTATCACTCTTGTTAACCCCTGTTTTTAGGGGAAAAATCCTAATTCACGTAAAATAATTGGAAGCTCAACAACAGGTTGTAATATAACAGTATTGCAAAAACTCATAGGAAGAACATTTTCTGGACCACAAGACGACAGAATAGGACTACTTTCAAAGCAAGGTGAAAGCGATGAGTATGTTAATACCATGGCAGTATCACAATTCTAAACACTGTAACATTGAGATACCACTAATCTTAAGCAGCAATGCTACTATAGTACTGGTAATATTTGTTTTGTTCTCTGCTCAGGTACCAATCCCTATGAACACATATACAACATTCAGAGACCTTAGCTAAATGAGATACAATATGCGTAAACAATGTACATTTCTGCATCCGATTTTGCCACATATCAACACAACACCTACTCTTCACTCTTCCCCTCCCCTATTTTTCCTTGTGAAGTTCATGCTAGTAAAGTTATACACTTATCATGATATCAGAACAGCTAGATTTAAGAACTCTCAATTCAAAAAGGCACATTCAAAAATACTGAAGCAACATGTGAAAGCAATTACTGTACATGTATTAATGTTGCATTTCTAATATAAGGTTTGTTTTCTCAAAACCTAACATGGTAGTAAGTACAACTGATAAAGAATAACCCAAAATTAATGCATAAGATATACAGATATGTACCTTGAAGGGGGCTCCATAGATTGAATCTCCACCTGATCCAGTACCAGTGGGATCACCTCCCTGCACTATAAAGCCAGGCACTACTCTGTGAAATATTGTGTTACTGTAATAATCTAAAAAAAAAAAAAAAAAAAAAAAAAAAGAGAGAGAGAGAGAGAGAGAGAGAGAATATTAAATACATGTAAGTGGTCTCAAAATCAAACTTTTATCTAGATATGCAGAGATGTCGAGACTGAAGTTCCAGAAAGCAAGTACTGTAATTGGATTCTATTATTTCCACTGGGTTCGCTCCTCTACAGCTCAGTGTGACTGCATCTCAGCTACAAAGTATTGTTGATGATATTTATGAAAAGAAACATGGTGTCCTATGCTTCTGTTGCAAAAGACACTGCACATCCCCAACAAGATGATTTTGATGAATTATTTTCTTTTCAGCTTTTAAGTTTTATCACTGGAATGATACTGCCAACGTACATCAATTGAAAAGGAGAGCTAAAACTACTGGACTGTCCCAGCCAACATCTCACATACATCGTTAGCCATTTCCATACACCAAATGATTATCATTTTCACTCACCAGCATGGAACACAGGTGTCACCCCTTCCAACACCTACACTGTACCCAAACTGATCATTTTCACAGAATGAAATATGTGGTACATTTTGCTCCCCAAGATATCTTCTTTACCATTTACCATTGCAATTTACCATTGCAAAAAATATCCACATCTCCACATTAGGTATAAGAACACGGAACAGCCTGGATCCATGCTGGAGGCACAAATCCTAGACGTCTATTTTTCCTTAACAGAGGATGGCTAAAAGAACTCTTAACCACTCTATAAATGCATAAATGGGATAATAGCAGCAGCTAGAAAACACAAAAAGGCACCAGGTCCTTCACAAATTCTTGTTACAGTTTTCCTCAATCGGGAGCTTCTCATTCTGGTACCCACTACCTCAGTGAAGAATGTTACAGAGCTTCCATCAACAAAAAACTACAGCAAATGAAACATTAGAAGCACTCATGATAAAAAATGAAAAGGTAGTAAAGATGGTGATATGGAAATGAGAATTCTGGAGGATGTCCAATATTGCATCATTGCCATTTCATAAATACGTTAAAGAAGTAGTTATACTTAGTAGAGACTTGCTGAAAATAAGCCTTCCCAAACTTCTAACATACAACTTTTCAGTAATACTACATCATCTGCTACATTTGAGAAAACGACAAAAAAAATTTCTTTTTTACCACCAAGTTCCTTCATAACCTTGAAAAATATTGTCTGAGAGTTAATATTTTCTAAATACAAAAACATTCATTAATACATTAAAGTTAAATCATAGTTATGACCTCTATTTTACAAAAAATGGCATAAAGATTGCATATGAAATGATTTCAACAACTCCTCTCCCATTCAGTCATTACCTTCCATACAAAGCTGGATGAAATTTCGACATGCTTTTGGTGCTTCTTTTGACCATAATTCTATATCTATATCTCCTGCTGTTGTTCTCAGCAAAACCTATAAAAATATAGTTAAACACACCATTAGTTTTATTGTAACTTAGTCACTGATCAAAGAATATCATTGCTGAGTTAAAAAAATACTTCTGAATTCATTATATTAGTGACAGTAGTAGACATTCAAACATGCCAGGCAGCTACTGTTAGTTCTAGACAGTATTGCTAGAACTTAAGATACAGTTCTGAAGTGATACGTATAATAAGGCTTCAAGGCCAGTGATCTGGTACCTGACACATGACAGAAACTTATATACCCTTTATCACTTCCATAATGAAACAACACGGGAAGAATAAAAATAAGTTATGCCATAAATCTCCAAAGGCATATACCACTCCTACAAGTAATACCACTAAATTCAGTGAGAGATCACAATAAAATTTAGAACCTAAGATATAGTCAAGAATAGAGCAAATGAAATTAAACTCTCCAAGGACTGCTCTGCGTTATGTATCCACGCAGCACACGTCGTGCCTTGACTCAGGTAACGTCTTTAAGGGCTACATCACCCCAAACTGACTTCAACCAAACCAGCACCACACGACGGAGCCCGCCCCCGCCACCGCCACCACACACACGCAGCGCGTATCTTCCTCCCCGGTCCCCCCCAGCCGCCTGCAACATACCATTTCTCCACACACCTCCCCAGTTCAAAAGCAGCCGCAGTGCACACACCCCACCCCACCCCCCCGCAGAGTGCGCAGCCCCCTCACGCCGATGCCCCCGCGGCCTCCCCAGCCGCGCTCCCCACGCACAGCGCGCGCCCTCCGCGCCTACAAAGCCCCTACGGAACACACGGAGTTTCCACACCCGCACTCACACACACCCCCACACCCCCCCGAGGAGCGCAACCCCTCTCAGCAAGCAGCCCCCCGCCCCCACAGCAGGCGCAGCCCCCTCGCCCACGCCGCAGTACAGCTCCCCTCCACCCGACGGCCTGGCCTGCCCACCGCGGCCCCTGCCCCCGGCGAGCCTCACCTTGCCGTTGGTGGGGGGCTCCTGGATGTAGATGTTGCTCATGGTCGGGAAAGGAGCGTCCCAGCAGGCGATCAACCGCCCGGGCTCGATGCTCTAGCTACCCTTCCTCTCTACCGCTTCCTACCGCCCCGAGCGTCCCGCCATCTTGGGCGCCACCATGAAGCCCAGGGAGGTGGGGAAGAGGCTGCGCAGGCCAGGAGGAAGGACGAAGGGATGAGTCCCCGGTCGGAGTCTCTACGGGAGTCGCTGAGGAAGCAAGTTTTTTCAGAAAGACGTGGAGGCTTCCCCAGACAGCTGCAGTCCTTCCCCGTGTCTCCCGCCCGCTACTGAGGCCCCCCGTCCTCACTGTGAGTGGTACGGTCCGAGAGTGCGCCGAGAAAAGCCTTCCGGCGGGGAGAGGTGCCGCTGCAGGCCCGGGCCGGGCAGGCGAGGACGGCGGCGGGAGGTGCCATGGCTCTGCCGGGTGAGGGGCTCCCGGCCGGGTCTGCGGGGAGAGAAGGGGCAACAGCCGGCTGTCCCCAGGGCTGGCATGTTGGGAAGGGGAAATAAGTGGCAGCGGGTTGATGGAAATATTCGGTGGCGGCGGGGGGGGCGCGCGACCGCGCGTCGCCGTGGGAGTTTCCACAGAGGCGCGTCGAGCTGAGGCCGCGGGGGCTGCCGGCGGAGCGACGCTGCTCCGGTCAGGTCTGCGCAGCCGGTTTTTAACCCGGCTGGCGTGGGGGCAGCGGGAGGGAGATGGCCGGGGGGGTGGGGGGGTGTCAGGCCGGCCGTTGATGAGCGCAGCCATGCAGTCGCTTCCCCCTAGGCCTGCGGGGCCTCTCCCCAGCGTTTCGGAGAGCCATGACCAAGTGCTAGGTTCCTACCGTCTGCTAGTATCGCCCGCCTTCTTTAAAGTTCGATCCAGGGAATGGTTGTTGTCAGGCTCGGTTTTCGTCCTCAGCTTTTGTTCTGGATTAACGTTTGTGTCCCACGAGATCATTGTTCAAATAGACCCGTTGAGAGCGATGGTGAGACAGGGCAGGCAGAAACGCTTGTGCTCTTTGCAAGGTATTTAGATCTGTGTTAGCCAAACCTGCAGCCGTTGCTTCCTAATTTTTTCTTCATCCTGAGGCATGAGGAGTTTGGTTGGAGCACAGCTGAACAAACTTGAGCTCTGGTAAGCTTCTTCTCTTAAGAAAAGAGAACACCGTAACAAGCTTGTTCCCATTCTAAAAGGGGGTCTTGAGGAAGACATCTCACATCTGCATTCAAAGATTCCTGAAGCTTTTTTTTGCAACCTTGTGCTCCACTGAATTAATGAGGTCCTTAGTGATGGTTGCTGCTGTGTTGGTTGTTAATTTTCTTGAGGATTAATACCGGGGAAGAAGAGGGTGAGAAAAGGAAGTTTCTACTGATTTGTTTGCTTTTAATCATCTAGTCTAAAACTTTCTTTCTAACATTATTATTTAAAGCCAAAAATAGTAATAAAATTTCAGTCTCAGGAGTTTGGTGGGACTATTTCGTGACAATGTTCTTGTCATCTGCTGGGTATTGCTATTGGAAATCCCAACAAATGGCACCCGCAGGTGTTGTCCCATGAGCGGGATTTGGCATCCGGTGTGCCATGCGCCAATCTTGCACACAAAGCCGAGATACCTGTTTATTTCATGTCTGCGCAGAGGTGGGTGCCAGGTGGTAACTCCACAAAGCTGGCACACAACACCAAAGAACTACAACGTTATTTATTCTGTTACACGAGTGGTAAAAACCCACCTAAATTTACATTCGTTTGTTAGCAGCCACCCTCTCATCTGCTATTGGCTGGTTATATTTAAATTAGCCTCGCTTGCTATGTAGATTAGCATGCAGGTGGGGGGGGCAAATTCTTCCAGCCAGGAATTGAGTCGGTGGCCAGGATCTCCCCCTGCCACCTTTACCTTTCCCCTAGTTTGTGCTGCTTTGGCAATCATCCGGCCTTTGGCCCATTCTGGGGCAGGATGTTCCCTTTTATGAGTCTTTAGTTCCCTCTGTTATTCTGAGTAGAATTTTCTGAAGACAGTACTTGTCTCAGTAAATCAAATTCTAATCAAAAAAATCAAATTAACTGTGGGCTCAGATGGGAAAATCACACCCTTTCTATACTTAAAATTTGCACTGTTCTGGTCTTCCTTCCTGCATATCATCTGTGGACTTTTCTGTTATGCTCTTCACTTTACTCCACGTTTGCTTTCTTGCACCCATTAATTCTTTGTATTTGATGCCATGTTGCCTGGATTCAGAATAATTTAAGAATTTGTTTAGCTGCCTTTTTTTTTTTTTTTTTTTTTTTTTTTTTTTTTTTTAAATTTTTTTTTTTTTTTTTTTTTTGTTTTTTTTTTTTTTTTTTTTTTTTTTTTTTTTTTTTTTTTTTTTTTTTTTTTTTTTTTTTTTTTTTTTTTTTTTAGAAATTGCTTCTATCTGTCTTTTGTGGTATATCTTTTTCTTTAATCTGCTTTTAATTGTCTTTTTAAGACAGTTCCTGTAATTAAAATGTAAATTGCTTCAGAGTTTCCAGTGCATGTCTGTCAACATCCGTGCACTGTTAGAATTTATAAGTACATTTGTAGTGCACAGTTATGGATCACTGGAATGTCACATAGCTATTACCGTGTTCATACTGTAACTAAACAAATACATAAGCTTTCAGAGAAGTGGAATAATTATTAAAATCATAATGGAAAGGTCATAATAAATCAAGTGAGGATTTGGCAATAAGTTACATGAAATGAAATGTTCTGTAGCAGTTTATACTAGCCAAATTTGTTCTGATAGATTACTGTACAGAAGAGTGACCTTAGAAATGCACTGGTTTGCCTTTTTTTAAGTTTTTTTAAGAGATCTTAGTGTACTTAATACTCTGAAGAGCAATCAGTCCTGTTGGTGCATTGACATTATCAAACCAGATTTAAAAGAAACTTGAGAGTTCTGTTTACGAACACCTAATAGTGAAATGTTCTCTTTCAGGTGGAAATAAGGATAACATCAGAGCAGGATGTAAGAAGTGCGGCTACCGTAAGTCTGTAGTAAGCAATATGAAATTACAGTGTTTTCTTCAATTTATGATGTTGGAACAGCCTTTTGAGGAGGGGGCGGAGGGGAAACAAAAAAAGGGTGTGCTCACTTGTTGCCCAGACATTTGTCAGTTTAAATTACCGTAATTTTATTTATTTATTTCCTATTCATTTTCTGGCTCTGCATACCTATTGCTGCTTTTGAAAACCCTTGGGTTTCACTGAAGAAAAAGAAGTATGCTGTTGTGTTCATATATACTACATTTGCAATGCAGTTACTTGAGAAACTTTGAATTGAAAGCATGGGTTTTGCTATCTACTGAGATTAGCATTTGTGCTGCTTCTGAGTCTCACTGCAAGCTTAGGCAGGCAATTCAGACCAAGTTAAGTCCACTCTGCTTTTAAAGGAGAAATCATTTAAAATCTATATGATCTTATTAATCACTAACTCTTATTTTTAAAACAGCGGAGGGGTGGACAGTGTTTTGCAGTGAATTGTGTTGAACTTTTAACAGTGATTTAATCTATTTTTTTAATTAGCTTTATGTGGGTTGAAGGGGAAAAAAGCTTGCTTCGTTCTTTCACTGTAGACTTAGTCTCCAACAAATTTTGTCAATGAATTGCTTTGTGTATCTGTTCTTCCAAAGGAACATGGATATCAATATAGATTTAGTGCTTCATTTCTACATGCAGTAAGTATCAGAAGCTTTCTGGAAGAGAAGGAAACTTGTAGTCAAATCACACAACCTATATTTATGTTCCTAAATTTTCTGTCTTCAAGATACAGGTATTTTGTTACGAAGAACATAAGTTTATTTTAATTGCTACTTGAATTCCTGTGTCTTTAGCTTAGTTTCTTCCAAACCATATCTTCAATTTGTTTTGTTTCTCTTTTTTATTTCAGTAGGTGTATCCAGGACAAGATTTCTAACTTTGATCATGATTATTGAGGTGTAACTTAGAAAACTAAAAATACTAGTCAAGTAGTAGTTTAGTCAGTATTATGTACTGGTTGTTAAAGATTGTCTCACAAGCAAATAGGATTCTTTGTTTCACTAGAGGGAGACAAAAAAGAGCAATATAACACACTTGCTGTAGTTTTTAAAATATTTCACTGCATGCTTTTAGGTAATTTCTTCAGGAAGGATCTCAGACCCTTAAAAAATAAAAAGTAAAGGTTGGACAAAATCTTTAACAGAAATAAGAGAGAGGTTGTAAAGCACTATTAAATAGAATAACATTGCACAACCTCTCAAAATTCTTTGAAGCTTGTTCAAAGTAAGCCTTCTCCCTTGTCGTTCACAGATTGCAGCTTAACCTTTTTTCACTTCTCAAAACTGAGTAATACTAAAATAGATGTTCTTTAGTTTCTGGTATTTTTTGGTAAATTAAAATTTTTCTTTCTGAATGTTTGTTTTGTTCAGCTGGTCATCTGACATTTGAATGTCGAAACTTCCTCCGAGTAGATCCTCAAAGAGATATTGTTTTAGATGTTAGCAGCACTAGCAGTGAAGACAGTGAGGAAGAAGAACTACAGAGATTGCAAGCTTTGCGTGAAAAAAAGAGTAAGGTGGTTTTTTTGTTTTTTTTTTCTTAAAGAGCAAATTGGGTAACAGTCTTCTGAAGTACTGGAACTCTCATTTTATCCTTTTTGATAACTACTCTTAGTTCTTTTAGCCTGTGCTTTAAAAATATGTCTTTTATTTCATGTGTTCAGACTTCAGAGATTTGATACAGCCATGTCTTCTTTTTTTATTATTATTAATTCCTGTCATTGGAAATTAGTAATGTACCCATTTGGAACATCTCAAAAAGGGCCCCTAAATACAAAAGATTATAAGACTGTTACTAAGAAGCTGCTTAGGAGAAAATGACATGGATGTTCTGAGTTAATCTTCTGATTATGGCATGTAGTTTAAACATCTTAAAGTTGACAGTAACTCTCAAAACTAATGACAAATACAACAGCGGAATTTCTCTCCAGTTTCTAAGTAGTGTTTTGACTGAAACAGCTAGTGAATTGAATTTAAACATTCATATTTGGAGAAGTACTGTTCTCTGTTTGGAAGGTCTGAGCTTCAACTGTTTGTCAGAGAGAAAATAGGTGGATTATTTAGCAGATACTCGAGTTCATTTGAGACTCCAAAGAGGCTGTTCCCCTAAGTAAGAAGGGGACGTTGTTCTACCGTAGCATGTTTTAAATGAATGAATATTCTTCCCTTCTGCCCCTTGAAACATCATGTTTTCTTCTGTTGCTCTCACATTCCAGACTTGACATTCAGTTCCTGCTAAAGATGCTATTTAGGAAGGAGAAGGGATAGATAGAACCCTGTAATTTGCTGGAATACTTCAAAAGAAATGGATAGTTTGCTTGTCAGGAGTGCTGAATTGGTACTGCAACAGTCCTTTCTTGGAACAAGTCTCTTTGGAAAAACTTTTTCCCACTTATTATGTACTTCTGAATGTAAGGGTTTTTTTTCTGCCCTAAACTGATTGAAGATGGGTATCTGCAGGAAAAACAGCTCTTTAGTTGGTCTTGTAATATCCCTGTTTATTATGTTCTTTTTCAAACTGTGGCTGCTATAGGTAAGGAGATATGTATCTTTAACTGTCAATAATCTAGGCAGGATTTTGCCATTTTCAAGTGGCCTCATCTTCTCAAGATTTTTGCAGTGTTTGCACTTAGATTCTTTACTGTTTTCTTAAAACAATACTGAGTGCTTGTTTGCACATTCTTGTTCATGTTTTTTAATTGCCCCAAAAGTAATTTGCTTTTTGTAACTCATATTGAATTCTTTCAAATTTCACTCCAGAACATACAGACCAGTAATTTCTATTTGTGGTAGCAAATGAATAACTGCACTAGCATGCAGACCCTATGGCAAGTTATTTGTATGACAGAAGTAAGGTGAAATGCTCAAAATTAGCTACCTGTTTTAAGGATAAATTGTAAAGTCAGTATTTTCCTGTTAGCTGATATTGTAATGTGTATTTATGTAGTGGATTTGCTTTTGAGAGAATTCAAATACTTTTTGAACTGGTGTAGAAAAGCCTATGGTCAGAAATTTCATCCAGTGTGATAACAATATTGCTTATAAGTGAAATGTGAAGGTATTATACAATATTATACAGTGTTAGGGCAGGAAACAAACATGACCAGATGAGGGGTGACTCTTCTGCCAATTTTTGTAGACAGTGTATTGACAGTAACTCAAATTTATCTTAGTTATGCCATAGCTATTTGTGAAGTGTGAAATGAGGATGTGTGAATATAATTCATGTAAGCCTGAGGCAATATTCTCTTTTTTTGTACATTCTAGTTAAATAACCTGTTTTCAGACTTGGGCAAGTCTTTTAAAATACAGGATATGAAAACCTGAAGCTGATGTAAAAATACTGGAAAAGTCACAACTTTTTGCTATGTTTTATGGGCCTTCCTTCATTCTTAGTGGTTAGATCAAAGTCATTAGAATGTAAGTTGTATAAAAAGTTCTGTTGCTGTGCAAAATATTTCTGAAATTGCTATACTAGACCAGAATTTGGAGGAAGGAAAAGAAAAACTTTTAACAAGAATTTTGTGGTAACTTTACATTGCTATTGAAGCCACTCTTATAATGCTGATCTTAATTCAGACAAGTGTTTTGTAAACTGTAACTTTTTATCCATAGATCTAAATGAGGAGGAAGAAAAAAAGAAACAAAAAAGAAAAAGCAAAGAAAAAAACAGATTAAAGAGACCAAGGAAAAGGTAACTCTATCACACACCTGTTTTAATTTCAAACCAGAACTTTAGAAATATTCCTGATGTTTGGTTTTTTTCTCAGAAAACATTGCTTCTTTTGATGCAAGTTTATTTGCAAGTACATCTTTTGTTTGAAAAGCTTCCTGTTTTCCAGTGAGAACTTGTTTGTTCTTTGGCTAATGGTAAAGCCGCAGGCTTTCTGCTGCAGAGCTAGGACCATGGAAGTCTAGAAAGTTCTAGCAAGCTAGAGGTCTGCAGGTCTGAGAAAGCAATAGTCCGTCTGACTATCCAACACTAGGCAAGATGTGGTGGGAAAAGAACAAGAAGTCAGAAGGATTATGGGCTTGGTCCCTGTCATGGTTTCAGCCCAGCCATGCAGCCACTCACTCACTCCTCCTGCCCCTGTCTGGTGGGATGGGGAGAAGAATCAAAGGAGAAAAGAAAAAAGAAAAAAGAAAAAAACCCAAAAACAAACAAACAAAAAAAAACCAAACCAAAAACCCAAACCTAAAAAATGGAACCTCAAGGGCTGAGATAAGGACAATTTACTGGGACAACACAAAAAGAGAAGTTACAACAACAATGGTACTAATAAAAGAGTATACAAAACGAGTGATGCACAGTGCAACTGCTCACCACCCAGAACCCTACTTGGAGTATTGGCATTTTCCCCCTTCCTTGTTCACATAGTGTAGCTCTAACTTACACTTATGAAGACAGTAGAAGAGAGTCAGTCTGTTGGCTATAGTCTTTACATGCAAGTAATTAATAGTTAATCGTGTAAACAGTAGCACAAAACTGTGCTCTTGAGTATAATTATCGTGACTTTTCTTTTATTGTCATCTCAATTCTTATATGTATGTAATCACTCATCACTGCTGGTTAGACACCAATATTACCAGCTGCAAGAGCATCCAAATTTGTCATACCTGTTTCTCTTGGATTTTTGCATGAGAGAAACACATTAAGATTTGTCTGAAGGCATTACTGTAGTATTGTTATTTATCATGTGATATTTTAAAAGCTGGAAGCTCTAAGTTACTGTCATACTTCCACTTTTCTGTTGGTCTGTACTCTCAGTCTTTTTCTTATTGAAGGTTGAAAAACACACAACTTGCCTATTCCATTGTTAATTAAACTGTATTATAAACATACTGCTTTTCTGGCACGGTAGTCTTAATTAGAAAAGTTGTCATTCAGTTGAACATGCAGACTGAGACATCATAAGCTTTCCAGTGGACACTACTTTACAAATTCTACACCAAATTCGATTTGTGACGTTATATAAATACTGAAATTAAAAAACGCACATTATCCTTGTGGCATTTTCCTTTTTTAATTACATATCAATCTCTATCTCTCTGTTTTTGTTTTTTTCTTTCTAGATCTTCCTCATCAAGTGCAGCTGAAGAGGATAGGCCAAAGTCAAAAAAACAAAAAGCACACAAAAAAGAAAGGCAAAAGGAAAAAAAGAATAAGTCTAAGAAAGGAAAACATCATAAAAAGGAGAAAAAGAAGAGACGAAAGGAAAAACGTTCATCTTCTGATAGTTCAGACAGTTCTAGTAGCGACTGAGGTGCTGGTGTATTTTTGTGTTCACTTCTGCAGAGAATGTGATTTTCCTTTCAAATCAAATTTATTTATGCTTTGCAATGCTGTTGTTTTAAAATGAGATGTATATTTTTAAGAAATTGATTTGCAAATATCAGTGCTTCAAATTATTAAATGGATCTTTTGGGAAAAGATCTGCTCTTCTATTTCAAGTTTATTAGTACTAAACCATGCAAGTTTAACTAGATCTTCGCTCTTATTCTTAGTTCAGTAGTGATTAGTTGTGTTTGGAATCCTTTACACTAGGATATGGTAAACATCAGTTTGCAAGTCTTTGTGCAGAAAGATTTGGACTTACATATGCTTAATGTCAGAATGGTTAAATCAAATTTGGAAATTCAAGTGAGATTTTCTATTATATTATCCTTTAAATAAATGTATGTTTTGCATAACATTTTCTACTTACATACATTAGTCAGTAAGTGTAAATATGAAATAGTTCGGGTCCAGAGAAGGGAAAGAATGGGCAATGAGAAGCTAAAAGAGATTGCTCCTTCAAAATTATCTTCTAAAATTGATTTAGTCGTAGACTGTGAAACACAATTACACAATTTTTCAAAGTCCTTTCTTTTTATTTAGGTTTTGTTCTTTTACGGTTATGGCCATTTCATCTTTGATAGATGTAAAGTGCTACTTCCTAACACTGGATGACTGTCCAGCAAGATTGTTTACAAAGGTCTAGGAACCATGTTAATACAGTATGTGGTGATTAATACCTACATGAACCGAAATAGGAAATTCAAAGACTGACAGTTGACAAGAATTGTGAAACCTCCATTCATTCTAATAAAACTCCCATTGAAAAGTTAAAAAACAAGCAAACAAACCTCTTGTGGAATGTAAGCAATCTATCATGAAGTCGGTAGCAAAATTTACCACTTGCTATTGGGAGCAATGTTAAGCATGTCAAAATTTTATAACTGGATTCTGGTGTATCCAATTCATATCTTGTAACGTGGTAGTGTACAGGTTCAAGACAGACTGATACTTTTGAGTTGAGCAGATTTTAGATATCTAATCCTACCCCAGAAATGCCTAAACCTCAAAGTGCCTATGTTTACAGCTTCTTAAAAATGCTCTTCATGCCTGCAGTTTTTTGGTTTGTTTGTTTGTTTTTTTCTTAGACACAGAATGCTTCCACCTGAGCAGCTTGGCATACAGCTGCACTCTAAGTCTCATGGGAGTCAAAATATGAGGAGGAGCAACACCTTCTTCACAATAATCTCCAGTGCCTATGTTTCCTACAGTGGGTTAGAGCATTGAGTCAGTATGAAGTATTTTATGGTATTTCGCTGGTTACTGCTATTTGGCCTGAAAGTGAGATCCCTAGATCTAACTCTGTCTTTCAGACTTTTATGTTTCACACCCAGTACCCTTATTGTTGGGCAATTTGTGCTGTAGATGCTGTGCTAGGGAACATTAAAAGATCAAAATACTCATGGAAGCCACACAGCAAAGAGAAGTAATCTGTAACTTTCTATGTAGGTCTCTCAGTAGAGGATGGCAAGAGTCCTTGCATCTGCTGGCTTTGGTCCAATCTAATTTTTCAGGTCATATATCACGATTTCTTGGATGGGCTTGGATAATACACCTAAGAGAGACCGGACCTCTTACTATGCACAGGTATCAGCTAATTATAAGGAACACTTCTTTAATCAGTACTAATTTAACAGATTTTGCCCCCCTGTTCACTGTAGACTCCTTACTGTTGCTGTGGCTGTTAGAGCTTATTTTTGACTGGGTTATTTCTCTAAGCCAGTCATTCTGTAGGGAGCAACAGGAGAGTTGTGGGCTAATTAAGCCAGTACTGTTGCTGAAGGAAATATTTAATCAAGCCACTGCTTCAGACACAAATCACTGTGATTTTTTTTTTTTCCCCTAAAATGTTCCTTACTTAATGAGATTGGAAGGATTATTAGAGTTAGGGGAATTCAGAATTCGTATGTAATTCTCCCATGGTCTTCTCATGATCTCGCTATGCCCCAGGGATGCCAATTCTGGGGAATGGGAGTTTGTACCTTATTGGTTTCTTGATTTTTGAAAGGTTCATCTGAAGACAAGGAACTGAAGGGAAATTTTACTGAGCTTTCTGTACCAGAATGGCTGAAGAGTTTATTAAACAACCCTTACTAGAGTTAGTATATCTCTATGCATAAGTATAATTTATCCATCAAACTATATTTAATGACAAATTAGAGAACAGGTAGATGCTTAAAGTTCAGAAAATCAACTGGTATGTTGGTAGTGTTCCTTATACTTTTGTGTAGTTTCAAATAACCATTTTAGATTCTAGTTCTAATTGTTGAAATCAAAAGATTACCTGTCTAAATGATGGTGCAGTTACCTTCCATGTGGCATTACAGCAGCTATTTGTGATAGTTACAATGGTATTTTGTAGAAGAGTGTAAGGCATGAATTTCAGTGTTTGTGTTTTGCCACTTGTACTAGCGTATATAGATTTTCATACTGGAAAAAGGCTTTTCTAATTTGAATAATTTAAATATCACTATTTTCTCAATTCATGCATTTATATAACAGCATGTCATGTGTCAGCTTATTTTTCAGGCCATATTCCCATTTTATTTACAAAGATGTACATTAAAGTCACTAGATTTTGCCACAGATGTGCTCAAGATATCAGGTGTATTAACTGATAAATCAAGGAGATGCTGAACAGTTCTCTGCCAAGTTAATATTTGCTAATCTTTAAAAGTGATATAAAAATAAATATTATTATTTTTCTTATTTGATTTAGCCATCATTTTAGTGAGTCTGATGTGTTGTAATAAATGTTACTGTTTCACTTGAGTATCAGCCTGACCCAAAATGCCTACTCTGGTTCCAGAAAAAGAAGTGACATTCAGCAGGTTTAGGTATCAAGACACGATTTCTAATTAAAACTCAGCTATTTCTTCACTCCTGTCAACTGTTATTAGCCTCAGTTTTCATGAATCACTCTTTCAAGGGCAACGCCTGACATAACTGCTGCTGTTATACAGGCCCAAGGTATTGATTGTATGCGTGCTACTCAACAAGCACCAAAAATCTTACAATATAAAGGTGATGCCTGTACAAACAAGGACTGTCCTTCCCTGTCAACTTATCTCAGTTACAGAATGAAATGCCTATTTTCAGAAAGAAAGACAAAAATCATGCATGTGAATAGTATATGGGGTGGGATGAAGAAAAGAAATGAAGGCAAGGGCATGACAAATGGATAGAATAATGAAGTCAATAACCTCCATACACCTTACAATAAGCTGAAATGCATATCAACCTCTGTCAATAAGCACCAGGAAACAAAGTAGGTGCCTGGTGTTTTCTTCAGTCTTCTTTCCCAGATAGCGGAAGAAGAATGTTCACATGTGCAATCCACCTACTAGCTGGGGAACAGACTGTGCTATAAAATGCACCAAAAGCTGGAATCACTGAATCAAAGCTGAATTAAGCTATTGTTTCACAAATGGCTAAAGGAAATACACATTCACAGCACAAAAATTACATCTTCACCATTCTCTGCAACATGTGAGACACCCTGGAAAACCCTTCAGTCTGTTTCTTGAGGTGAAGGATGTATCCTTTTTAATGTCCCTAGAGTAATGGAAAGTTATTTTCAGCACAATCAAATAAGTTTGTATAACACGTTTTACATTAATTTGAATACATATAAGATTGGCAGGGGGGTTGAGCAACAATGCAATAATCTTTTTCTCTTTAGTCTTCGCTACAGTTACTCTTCCATGCTTCCTAGTTTTCATGATCTTGAGACATTTTATCAATATGAACATACTTGCTATCTCTATGATCTCTTCTGAGTTATTTTACTTGCTACTAGCATCAGTTTGTAGCATGAGAAAAGTGATTTATATGTCACTGATCATTTAACAATTTAATATTAGCTTTCTGTTTTACCATTACAGGCTCCTTTACCATCAATTTTTTTTTTAATAATTATTTTTTATAATTTACCATCAATATTACACCATCACTTGTTGAATTTACATTTTTTAAATTATTGCATTCGGTAGTGTCAGCTTCTGTTGTTTCCAGGAGTTTTTCCTGAGTATTTTCTGCAGGTTAGTCAGATACTTATTTTGTTGTATTCTGAGCTCTCTTCAATGGTCTACACTGGTTCTTGTGCAGTCTGCAAGGGCTACCGTAAATGAAGGACAAACAAAAGTATTAGCCACAGATACCCAAGAGGTGGAAAAATAAATTCTGAGTGATACAGTATTATTACATAGCTCTAAAACTGAAGAGTTTGGTCTTCTTTTCTCTTTCAGCAATAAATCATGGTGAAGAATCATAATACAGCTAAGAATTGCAACGAGGCAATTACAGGTAGAAAAAATTGCAGTGTCTAACTGTGAACTTGGAACAGACTGACTAGCCTTACAGGTTTGATCTTTAAGGAGATCAAAGCTGCTGAGATAATTAATGCATATTGAACTCTGTATTTACTCAGTGCTTTTATACTTGACAACAAGTCAAGAAAGTCATAGCTGCTGGTCACTCCAATGACTATCATGAGTAACGAATCTGACATGGTGCTTGTTGTTTGTTTCATACAATAATCAGTTCCAGAGATTTCTGAGCTGTATTTTCAGCAGTTCGTCTTTTGCAGTTCCTCACATCTTCTCTCCCCAGTCAAAAAAGGGTGCGATCTGTATGTATGCAGAACAGAATGTCAAATATCACAAACCTTTTAACTCTTAACAGATTATTCAGTAGTGCCCTGCAGTCTCCACAATGGAGCCAGCAGTGAAGCAATTAGAAAGTAGTTCTGACATTGCCATGTTTCAGGGACTTACCTACCTTAACTTGTCAAAATTACTGTACACCAGAGACTCTTTTAGGGAAAACACACACTTGGTGCCTCTTACTGCAATTCCTCTACCTCAAGATGGTAGTACCTGAGAAGGGCATTAATGGAGATTGTAAACTGCACATCACAATAAATAAGAACAAGGACCGATAGAAAAATGTGCCAAAATTGCTTCTATAATAAAAATGGCAGAACACTGAAACCGTTCACAAGAAATTCTAGTATAACAATCATGAAGATGAATTTAGGGGATAAAGAAGAATATGAGATGAGGTGGTGGCAGCAGAAAATAAGCAATTGCAGACGAGGTGCAAGAATGAAGAAACTAAAGAGATTAGAGAAATTCAAGTACAAGGATGGAAAAGATACAAGCAGTCTAAACCAATGATTATCCAGTACAGCAAAATCCTTTCCTGTCCAGAATATGATATATTTTTATGTTAAAAAAATGTATAAATTATTTGAGAAAGAAGATCAGAGGGAAATGTTTGTCTAGAAATGCAAATATTCCACTAAAATGTTGTGGTTTAAATAACAGCAATAAAGGAGAAAAGTCTGTAATAGAAACAGGCTATTTAGTAGAGTTCATGTAAACTCTAGCATAGTATTCAAAATGTGACTATTGTTTACAGTTTCCTGTTTAAGTGAAATATTTGTCCCAGTGAGAAAGTGTACCATGAAGAAGAATTATTAATGCTTATTTATCTCTATTGTAAATAAATATTCCTGAGGCTTTAACTTAGTGTAGTAGTTTATAAAACATCCTGGCAGAATTTTGACCACAGGAGAATTTCAACAAAGAATTAAGTTGAGCTGTAAGAAACACTCTCTATAGTAACAGTAGAAAGGCTAACTTGCCAAAAAATTACTACAGGATGCTTGTTTCCGTTTGAGGTTCTGCCTCAATTCTGATCAGCTCTCTAGTGAGGTATTGAAATTAAAGACGTTTCTGTGGTATTAAGCCCAGCTTCAGAGCAAAAGAAGTAGGGAAGATGATGTTTTCTTTCTAAGAGACTAGGCTGCTTGTGCTAGGGACTAGGAATGCAAGGTACTGGAAGAAGGATGAAAGATCAGGATCTAACAAAAAGTCTTCTTGTGGATTGGTACCCATGAGAACTTGAATATTTCTTTCAAAGGAGAAAAAGCAGACTCTTAATCCCTTGAAAGATACCATTTTTTAAGATAGATAACCTTGACTCCCTTAAGGAAATCTCTTCAGTTACATTTAAATTTTATGAATTTGCTTTGCCAAACCTTTCCAAACCTCTCCAAACTTCTGGGGTGTTCTGAATCTTAAATAATGCTCTCTTTCTAGAAATTCTGCCCGATCTGTTCCATGTACAATTGCTGTTTCTACTGTGACTGTATCTTCTCCTTACTGAAAGAAGTTAATGGTTTGAATCTGGAAAAAGGTGGCCAAAAGAGTGTTGCTCTTGGGATCAGCAGCTTTCTCTCCCCTCCCCGCCCCGGCTTCAGAAGCTTTATTGCTTTTCTTCTAAGTTGCAGCACAGAAAGGATTAAAAAGCCTCTTTTCAGTGCTGACAGTACAAATTATTTCTTTAACTTTTCCCAGATGTCTAAAAAATAATTTTCCAAGTTAGCACAGAGAATACAGGAGCTAAGTAAATTAAAGGAAGAAAAAGCAGAGAGGAATAAATGTTTATCTTCCATTGTGAAATTAGCATATGTGTAGATTACTTTTCATTTGATGGCTAAAAATGAATAAGTTATTCCTAATATGAGTGAAAAAAAGATCACATGCTTCATATTATTAAATTAAAG